GCCCACATAATTACTGTAGGTGTACTTTTATTAAATCATTCAGTGATCTTAAATTCTATAAATCTACACTTCAGTCAAAAGTCAAAGCTAGGAGGCAACTTGCTGGGATTCTAATCCCCGCTCTGCCATTTACCAGCTATGTAACTTTAGGATAGTTACTTAATTTTATACTTAAATGGGGCGGGGGTTAGCAGTATCCAACTCAGAGTTGTTGAGATGATTAGATGTGTTAATGTATGTACAGCTTTAAATAGTTCCCAGCACACAGTAAGTACTATGTGGGTGATTGTTATTCCTACCTAAATTAAAATAAAGCCTCGTAGCCCATACTGAGAATAAAATAAAATAAAATAACAGACATTTCTGCAAATATAATCTGTGTTTCCTGAGGCACCATAATTTTGAGGTCAGATGGAAAGGAAAATTAAGGAGACACAAGAAAAGAAAGAAAAACCTTTACTCTGGAATCTGACTGGGGATATGTCTTAGAATTTCCAAACAAATATTTGTCAATCCTAAAGTTGGGAGAGTGCCACCCTATCCAACTTCACCATCCAGACACTTTCATAACAGGCATTTCTATCCCATTGCTTCTGAAAGTGAGGCCATGAGATGAATGTCATGAACCTTCAGAACAATACGCCAAGGCTGGGTCCAGTGGCACATGCCTGTAATCCCAGCACTAGAGAAGCAGAGGCAGGAGGATCACAAGTTTGAGGACAGTCTGGGTTACATAGTACGGGGTTCAGCTAGGCCTACACACTGAGACCCTGTCTCAAAAAACAAAATAAAAAATAAATTAAATATTAAAAAATAAAACAAAAGAGTTATGCCAGGTGAATTTGTAGCTGCAGAAAGCAGATTGGTGGTTCTGGGGTCTAGGAGCGGGACATGCATTTACTATAAATGGAAATGAGTGATGTCATTGATAGAAATGTGCTAAAACTGGATTAAAGATCATTGAGTTTAAATCAGATGAATTTGTGATATGTAATTATCTCTCAATAAAGTATTCCCCCCTTCTGGTACTAGGGATATTGAACCCAGGTTTTCACAGATTGGCTGGGCAAACACCGTACCACTGAGCCACATCCCCAATCCTGATTAAAAAACAAAGAAACAATAAAATTGTGAAATTTTTTTTTTGGTATTTTTGAGACAGGGTCTCCCTGTAGCCCAAGCTGGCCTTGAACTCACAGAGATCCTCCTGCCTCTGCCTCCCAAGTGCTAGGACTAAAGGCATGTGCCACCACACCTGGCTCAAATTGTGATTTTACAGTAGTATTTTTAATTTAATTTACTTTATGTGTATATGTGTCTATGTCTATGTGTGGGTATATGAATGTGTGTGTCCGTACCTCAGGAGGCTAGAGGAGGGTGTTGGATCCCCTGGATCTGGAGTTACGGGTGGTTGTGAGCTGCCTGGTGTAGATGTTGAGACCCAAACACCAGTCCTCTGCAAGTACCATCTCTTCAGCCTCCACAGTAGTAATTTAAACTTTCTAATAAAATTCAAGTTAAAATGATGTTAGTTTAAAAATTACTGATTGTTTTACACATTAATTTGCATTAAAGCATCACTATAAACCACAAATCTTAGTAAATGCTAGTTTGGGTCCCTGATTCAATATAAAATCTAAACATGAGAATATTGATGAAAAGATTTTTTAAAAATATTCGTTATTTTTATTTTACGTGTATGAATGTATTGTCTGCATATAAGTGAAACCATGTCATGCAATACCCACGGAGGTCAGAAGATCCTTAGAGGATCCCCTGGAACTGGAGTTGACAGTTATTAGCTTCCATATGGGTGCTGGGAATGGAACCCAGGTCCTTTGCAAGAGCAGTCAGTGCTCTTAATCGTTGAGCCAATCTCTCCAGGCCCTGAAAAGATTTTTGTGAGTTGACAGTGCAAGACTAAGCAAGAAGTCCTTGCACGGTTGTAAGGAGTCAAAGACACTGCAGGTGGGGCAGGAGTGCTTTTATCAGACACTCTGACTCCCTCTAGGATTTCAGTTTCCTTAATGGTATCTTCCTTCAACAAACACTGTTAAATACCTACCATGAATCCACTAGGTCCTTATTTTTGATCCTCAGAATATGTCCAGTTGCCCTCCTGTCTTGTTCACTAGCTAAGATGCTCTTCTTTGAAAATTCTCCTGGCTTGGAGTGGACCACTCTCAAGCCCTTCCCTGCCATACTTATCACAACCAAAATGAGTTGGTATCTTTTGTTTTTTTATGTGTATGAGTACATTCCCTGCATGTGTGTAACGGCACCCGTACTGTACAGTGCCTGCAGAGATCAGAAGAGGGTGTTGGATCCCCTGAAACTGGAGTTACTGATGGTTGTCAGCCACCATGTGGGTGCTGGGAATTGAACTCGGGTCCTCTTACTGCTGAGTCATCTCTCCAGCCCCAAGTTGGTATCTTTTAAACATCCCCAAATCTTAAAGGGCAAAAAATCCAACAGGAGTAGTCAAGTTTTCAATTCAGAATTACACAATGACTAGAAAAAAAAAAAAAAAAAGGAAGAAAATACACATCCCTACCCCCACCATAGTTCAGTTTCTGTGTTCCTTTCTTTTTTTCTTTCTTCTCTCTCTCTCTCTCTCTCTCTTTTGTTTGGTATTTTTGAGACAGGATCCCCTTGTAGCCCCAGTTGGCCTGGAACTCCCTACGTGGACCAGGCTGGCCTTGAGATCTGCCTGCCTTTGCCTCCAGGAGTGCTGGGATCAAAGGCATGTGCCACCACACCAGGCTGCTATGTTCCTTTCTTTCATACCTCTTTTAAAAAAAAAATTGAGACAGTGTTGAGCTTAAGCTATGCCCTGCTCTAAGCTACTGGATGTTGTATACAAAACCGTGTTTTCTCAGCCTGGGCTTGGCCTGGGAAGACTCCATTTTACAATTAGCTTTTGATTCCATTTTAAGGGAGGAAGACAACTGCAGCCCCTGGATGAAGTCACAAACCACACTTTCAGACCCCATCTCCACAGCACAGACTGATAAATGACTTATTCCTGGGAGTAGAAAAGGAGCTACCCTATAAATCTATTGGGGTGAACTGAAGCTGTAGTGGTACATGGGCCCATTTAAATCCAAACAGAGAAACCAGGCCCAAGAGCTTTTCAAACACAGCAGACAGAAAACAGGGTAAAACTCCCTCACCTAGACCCCATAAAGTGATGTCTGGTGTGTATGTCAAGAACTGACAAGCAGTGGACTCCCTAAGCATCCCTGGTGCTACTCGACTGCTGCCTGTTCACATTTTTGCCCTTCTGGTCCTGGACCTAAACCCACCACCGCTTTTTCACTCTCAGACCCTGGTTCAGTCTTTCACCTTAAATCTGGAATCTGCAGCTTTGCAGTCAAACTGACTCCAGCAGCTCCAGCCTCTGCTCCCTCCTCACACTGGTCTTGTTTGTTATCTTATCAATAAAGACTCTTTTTCAGCCTACTTCTAAACCCTTTTGAACTCTGTTGTAGACTCTAACTTGTATTCATTCCTTAAACCACATATGTGCATATATAACTATATTTACTGTGTGATAGGAGAGTTACTATTAGTAATTAAGATTGGATAAAAGAGCCCACATTTGCCTCTACCAGATTACCAGGGTAAGCAGGAATGTATGAAAAACTACTGCCATTGAAATCACTCAACCTTGTTATCTTATTGTTATTCGATAAACTCTGACTTTATGGAAAGAAACAAACATATTCATGTATGTTTCTGGCATAAAAGATTCTCCTGTAGTCCAGGCTGGCCACTATGACCTTGAACTCCTGTCTCCATAGCCCAAATGCTGACTTCACAGGTGTGCACCACAGTTGGGTTTCTGCAGCACTGCGGACTGAACCCAAGGCTTTATACCAGGCATTCTATCAACTGAGCTACATCCCCAGAACCTCTTGTTCTTTCAAAGAAAGCTAGTATTGCCTATCAGCTCAAGAAAACGTCTGCCTAGTGGCATTTAAGTTCCATTTCTAAATAAAGTGGTCACTATATCTGAGTTCTAATCCCACAGGTAGACACCCCTTTCTTCCAATTCCTGTAATTCCTATTTTCTCAAGGGTGATTTGTTTACAGATACATGGTATTATTACCTTTGTGTGGGAGGGGAGGGGAAGGGGTTGGAGACAGGGTCTCCTTCAGTAGCCCAGACTGGCCTGGAACTCTGTGTCCTCCTGCCTCACCCTCCTGAGTGGTAGGATTACAAGCATGACCTGCTATGCCCACGTTATTATTACCATTTTGATTTTAGCTTAATTGATTAATAAATCTAGGCCCTTGAACAGTAGTTAGATGCTTTATTAAATTCTCTGCACTTAACCTATTGACCAAATTTCCAAAGGCTGTGTTGTGTCAGCTTTACAACGCAGTGCTGTCACATACTTCTGTTTCATCTTCCAATTCTAAAAGGGCTTGCAAGGCAGATACTCGGTATCTAAAGGACACACATAAGAGTCACAGCATGCTGGCTGATGACGGAACTTGAATCCGGATGTCCCGAGCTCCTTTTCATTTGAAATTCTTTACTAGAGGCAAGTGAGAACTGCAGTCAAGTGGGAAAAACTGACTAGGAGTGAGGGCTTTGCCCCCTCCTAGAAACCACAGTTTTCTTTGTGGTTTTTTGGTTGTTGTTATTGTTTATTTTGGTTTTGAGAGTCTCTAGTACCTAAGGCTGGCTTTGAACTCCTGATCCTCCTCCCTCCTCCTGAGTGCAGGGATTACAGTCTCTCCTCATCCAGCCGGGCTCCTTCGCTTTTTAATTCAGTCATATCGAGGTCTAGCCCTGGTCTGCCTCGTCCTCGGGATTCCCTAGAGACTCTTCCTGGGTGGTTTTGAAGATTCGTCCAGCAACCTACAGATGACAGCCAAGCAATAAGGAAATAGAAAAACGCGAAGCACGTGGCGCAGAGGATGGCATTCTTCTTGGCCCTCCTCCCGAGCCGTAGAGGCTCGCGGTGGTGGGGCGGGGCTAATTCTGTCTATAAAAGGCCGGCTCGCAGCAGCTAATCGCCACTGTCATTTCCTGTTTGGGGCGCTACTGTAGGTGGAGCGGCCAAGATGGCGTCGACCAGCCGGTGAGTGCGGCGGCCTCCGGGCGGGCGGAGCGAGGGGACCCGGGCACCTCCCGGCCGCCGCCGGCAGCGCTTTCTCCGCGGGCCCGCCGGGGCCGTCGTCCTCCGGGCTGTGCCGGTCGTCGGCCCCCGGCCTCGCGTCTTTCCGGATCCCTCAACTGTCTTTGTGTCTTGGTAGTTTCTCCTACGTCCGCGTTCACATCTGTGGCCCACCCAGCCCGAGGGAGCATGGGAAAACGACGTTTCCAGGTCCCCTTTGATCTGACAGCTAGAAAGTTGGGAGACGTCAGCGTTCGGAGCTGGGGGGGAAACGGGTCACCAGCCTGGTGACCCTCCGAAGTGGACGGGAAAGTGCACACGAAGACTTGACTCGAACTCCCCAGAAGGGTTCCCTCCCCCCAGTGAGATTATTGCACGCTTCCAAGGGCATGTTGTCTGCAGAAAATTAATTACGTATGCTGGGAAGTCAGTTTAAATTTCATTTTTAAATGCAGTATACTCCTATCCAGGAAATGCGTGCTGTGTCCTTAGAGACAGCCTTTAATCTCGTGACCTGCAAAATGCCTGCAGACCTTAATTACATCTCATAACCACTATGAGGTAGATATTAGTCTTTTTGCATATGTGGAAACTGAGTCATACCAGTGTTAACCTTTCCGATGGCTAGAGTACCTATTACCTCACCCTTGTAGTTAACACAGAAGGTACTAAAAGTATCAAATTAAGTACTGCACCTCCGGAACATTTTACTCAGGTTGTTACTATGTGTGGAATTGATAAACATCACCATTGAAAGCCATTATTCACAAAGGTCTAGGCCCTTTCTGAGAACTTCCAAGACTACTGTATTGTTCTAGAAGGGGGGGGTCTGGGGAACAGCCTGTGGGGAAGTAACTCTTAAGCCATTGACACTCTTGTTGACAGAGTCTAATTTATGATTTAATGCTTAATCATTCTATCTGGGTGTGGTTCTGTAAGGTGAAGGCTTCCTTGCAGGGACATGGGAAACTTCAGCTCCCCCAGATTACCCAGATACTACTTAAATTTTCTCATGGCAGATTTGGAAGCAGAATGTGGTCATATGTACACACAGCTTTTTTATTTTAGAGAACAAACTATTTGTGGAAAATAAGTTGTAGTTAAATAGTGCACACAGTGAATTCACTGGTTAAGATTTTTAAATGTTTTCATTATTTAAAAAAAATCCTTTAATTTTTCTGGACAGCCAGCACTCCTCTTGTTTGATCTGTTTTTATGTCTTGGTTCCCTAGCCCAGTTTGGCCTAGAACTCGAAAGCCTCCTTGCTCCACCTTTCTGGGGCTGGGGTTCCAGGCGTGTGCCACCAGCCCAGCTCAAATCCAGCTTTTAGTTTATATGTCATTACCATTACTACTCTCAAATTTTCTGCCAGTGGGAATAAAAAGAGTCAGTGTTAGATTTCTGCCTTTAGCATTTTCTCTGAGGATATATATTTACTTGACCGTGAAGCTGGTTGGTGTTCTCACAGAGAACAGTACCTGTCCTGAGTTTAGATCTAAGCCCACTGCTTATTCTGACTTCAGGTAGATCACTCTCTGACCATAATTTTTGAAATGAAGATACTGCCTATCTTGCAGGATTGTTGTGAAAATTGATCCTAAAAATGTATACCACTGAACACACAGTAGGCATCTAATATATGATAGCCCTAAAATGAGGTTTGGGGTTATCTAGCACCTTGGTGTCTACGTTGTTTTGGTGTCGTTGATGGTGTTCTGTTTCTACATTCTCTTGTGCCCTCCTACTCAGCTCATGACTTCCTCTTTTGTATTAATCTGATTAATAATTGACTACATTAACATGATTTCACTTTACCCCCTCTAGCCCCCAGCCAGCCAGTTCTCTCCAAGGACTGCAGTCATCATCACCAGTTTCTTGGTCTTTTCCTCATGACTGCTTTTGCAGGCCTGCATAAAGTTTTAAACCCCCTCCCAAGTCATATAATCTATGCTGTTTGCCACCTTACTTTTTACCTTTTTATGAAGTTAGCACACTTTTAAGTGCACAGTTCAATTATGCAGTAAGTACATACATGTAGCTGACACCCAGGTCAAGAAATTAAACACTATTAGCCATTATCAACCTGTGAAGTCTCCTTTGAGCCCTCATGACTCCTACCAAAACAGCCACATCCTGACTTCCAACACCATGGATTTGTTTGTCTATTTTAAATAAATGGCATGTATTCTGCCTAGTTCCTAGTCTGTTTCAGTAGTTAGAGCCATCCATATTACAGCCTGCAGCTAGTTCATACTTTTTCAGTGCTGTACAGAATTCTTGTCTTACTGTTGAGGTATTATCATTTAAACATTGCAAGATTTCTGCCTGTTTTTTCCTAAGTGCTGGGGTTTGAACCCAGGACCTTGTATATGCGAGGCAAGTACTCTACCACTGAGCTACATCCCCACCTCTTGATCTCTTTTTTTTTTTTTTTAATTTAAGATTTTTATGTGTACGCGTATATTGCTTGCATGTAGGTAAGTGTATCTGTGTCGTGCAATGCCTGCAGAGGTCAGAAGAGGCTGTCAGATCCCCTGGAACTGGAGTTATGGACAGTTGTTAGCTGCCATGTGGGTGCTGGGATTCGAACCTGGGTCTTCTGCAAGAACAACCAGTGTTCATAACTGCTGAGCCATCTCTCCAGCCCCTCTCTATTTTTTTAAGACAGTCTCAGTGTAATCCAAGCTGGCTAGAACTCACTATGCATAGTTGTTAGGCTGGCCTTGACCTGGGGGTGATCCTCCCAGCTCTGCTTCCTGAGCCCTAGGATCGCAGGCCTTCCTCATCACACCTGGCATCTGCTTTTTATTAGTCAGAGTAGAGCAAGCCATCATGAGCCACGTTCTACATCACTTCCCTGTGTATTCACTGACAGTAATTCTAACTCTGCTTACATTTTCTTTATTTGAGCAATTTTCAGAGTTTATGTACTGCTAAATTCTACTTTTCATAATTTATTAATATTTCTTACAAATTTATAGAATAAATATGAACATAAAAGTTTCTGCCCCCCATTTTCCTAGTGAGAAAATCCAAGATATGTTTTAATTAATTATGTAAATTTGGTGGTTCTATATGATTTTTATCAGTTTGCCATTTGACCTTCAAAGCTGATAGTTAAAACATTCTGAATTTTACTAGCTAACACAAGAAACTTCGTGATCCCAAATCATGAATGCCTATTTTAAAAAGTATTTTATTTATTATTTTTATTATATATATGCTTTGCCTGATATGTAAGTGCACTTATTTTATGCATGCAGTGCCCTAGGAGGCCAGAAGAGGTGTTACATCCCCTGGAACTGGAGTTGTAGACGGTTGTTAGCCACTATTTGGGTGCCTGGAGCAAAACCTGGGTCCTCTGCAAGAGCAGCCAGTGCTCTTAACCCCTGAGCCACCTCTCTAGCCCCATACAAATGCCTGTTTGTATTTTGTCTTTTAGATGTGTGCTTGTGATGGCAGTGACTTAACCATTTATTGTTTTGTGTCAAGTCAATTTTAGAAAAGGGCTTATTTTTAGTGATACCAAATGTTTTAAATTATGAATTCAGAACTTGCAAAAATAATTATTAAATTTCTGTTGTATATCTTTATTACTTTTAAAGCCTGTTTTATCAAATTGTTAACTGATTTCCCAGGATTGCTTATAGTGTTCAGGATAAAATAAATGGGGAATTTTTCAGTTTTGTGAACTTGGCATTGTGGTGAGGCTGAGGCAGGAGGATTGCTCCTAGTTTGGGGCTAGCCTGGGTTATATCATGGTTTTGAGGCCTCTGAACTACATAGGAAGACTCTCAAAAAAGGAAAAAAAAAAAAGCATGAATCTTAAGTAAATGTTATAATAGTAAGCAAATAATGTAACAGTAAATAACTAATGAAACCTTTATTAGCTTTCTTTTTTATTAGTTCCTCAGATTAGCCTACAAAGTAATGGATTTCATTATGGCTTTTTTTATACATACATGTCATTACACTTTGTTCTTAGTAGTCGCCCACCCCACCCCACTCCCATTTCCCTCTTGTTCATTCACTTCTCCCAAATAGTCCCTCTTCTGCTTTCATGTCTCAGGGGTTCTGTTGCCCTCTCTTCCTCCCTAAGATTATTGCTTCCCTCATAGTCCCCTGCTTTCAGGTCCTACGTAATCTATGTGAGATGTGTATCTGTATGTACACTCAGAAATTGAAAGCCAAATCACACATATGAGACTTGTTTTTCTGAGACTGGTTTATTTTACTTAGTATAATGATCTCTCACTTCAATCTGTTTTCCTGAAAATGTCATGATTTCATTCTTCTTTGTTGTTGTTGTTGATTTGTTTGAGACAGGGCTTCTGGATATAACCCTGACTGGCCTGGAACTTGCTGTGTAGACCAGGCTGGCCTCAGACTCTCGGAGATCTTCCTGCCTTTGCCTCCCAAGTGCTAGGATTAAAGGTATGCACCACCATGTCCAGCCCCCCCTCCCTTTTAAAAAAATAACTCCCTCTCTTCCCAAAGGGACCTATATTTTAAAAATATTTTATCATGGCTAGGCATGGTGGTACATGCCTGTAGTCCCAGCACTTGGGAGGCAGAAGCAGGTTGATCTCTGTGAGTTCAAGGCCAGCCTGGTCTACATAGTGAGTTCCAGGCCAGCTAGGGCTATAGAGAGTTCCTGTCTCAAAAAGACCCCCCCCCCCAAAAAAAAATTTTTTTCATCATTTTTAATTGTGATTTGAGTGTGATTGAACTCAGGTCAGTAGTCCTGGCAGCAAGCAGTTTTACCCACCTAGTCACCTCACCATCCCTGCCTTTTGTGCTTTGAGGAAACTGTTCTGATTTGCATGGTGGCCATACCACTTTATCTTCTTACCAGCCCTGTATAAGAGTTCTTCCTTCTCCATATCTGCAGTGTGTGTTGTCATTTGTTTTCTGCAGAGTCATCATTCTGACTAGCTGTAGGAAGGTGGAATCTCAAAAGTGGTTTTAATTTCATTTCAAATATTTATTGGAGGTTGGAGAGATGGCTCAGTGGTTAAGAGCACTAGCTGCTCTTGCAGAGGATCCAGGTTCAATTCCCAGTACCCACAAGATGGCTAACAATGTCTGTAACTCCACTTCTAGGGGTCTGACACCCTCTTTTAACTTCTTCAGGCATTGCACACATGTGATGCACTTAGACATAGAAAATAGAAATAAATCTAAACAAGAGCAAAGGCTGGGCATGGTGGTACACTCCTTTGAGCCCAGCACTCAGAAGGCAGAGGCAGGCAGATCTCTTGAGATCGAGGCCAACCTGGTATACACAGTGAGTACTAGACCAACTGGAACTGCAGTGAGACCCTGTCTCAAAAAGACCAAAAAAAGTTTAAAAAAAAAAATCATATTTATTGGCTATTTGTATTTCCTCTTTAGAGACTGTCTTTTCATTAGTGCATTTATTCATTAGATGGTTTGGCTTTTTGGTGTTTAATTTTGGGATTTCTATATAGATTCTAGATATTAATGCCCTTTTTCATACATAGTGGGTAAAAGTTTTTCCTCCTATTCTATGAACTGTCTCTACACTCTACTGATTGTTTCCTGTTGGTGCAGATGTTCTTAATTTCATGCAATCATCTTTTCAGGTCTTGGGCTTGTTTCCTGTGCTATTAGAGTCCTTTTAAGAAAGTCCTTGCTAGTGGGACATGGCGGTACACACCTTTAAAATCCCAGCACTCAGGAGGCAAAGGCAGGCAGATCTCTCTGAGTTCAAGGCCAGCCTGGTCTACAAAGTGAGTTCCAGGCCATCTAGGGCTACAGGGAGACCCTGTCTCAAAAGGAAAAAAAAAGTCTTGTTATGCCTGTTTTCCTCTAGCACTTTTGTTTTTTAAAAATGTTTTTATTCTTTGAGAATTTCATATAGTACTTTTGATCACATTCTCCCATCCCCCATTCCACATCTCCTCTGAGATCTACCCTGAGTTTTTTTGTTTATGATATTGTATTTTATGTGTATGACTGTTTTGCCTGACATAAGTATATAAATGCTTGTCTGGTGCATCTGGAGGCCGGAAGAGGACATTAGAGCCCCTGGAACTGGAGTAACAGGTGCTTGTAGGCCACTGTGTGGTTACTGGGAACTGAACCCAGGTCCTCTGAAGGCTCTTAATCTCTGAGCCATCTCTGGCCCCAAAGTTTCAGATCTTATATGAAGGTCTTTGATCCATTTCAAATTGATTTTTTGGTGCAAGGTGAGATATGAATCTGGTTTCATTCTTCATGTGGAAGTCCAGTTCTTTTTTGTGTGTGTGAAGCTACCTTTCTGTGTTATCCGTGCTGATCTTGAAGTCCTCAGGGAATCCTCCTGTGTCAGCCTCAAGTGCTGGGACTATGGACAAGCCCTAGCATGCCCAGTAGAACAAATTTTTAAATACTATAAAACCTCAGTCCTGGACTAAATAAAATCATCAGGACTTAAGGTCAGCAGAGCTGTTTGTAAAGTATGTATTTGGTTCAGTGTGGTATGCTAAATCTTTAATTATGGTAGCTAACAAGTAGAAAAACACATTCATTTTCTGATCAGAGAAATAAATAACAAAAAGAACAAGCTGGGTAATTATTTGAAATGTTGCTTACTATTGCAATAATTAGTCATTATTACACTAATGAAGATTTTTCAAAAATTCTAGTAGCTTGCTTATTAATAGAACACAAGAAAATTCAGTTTCTTATTGGTTGGGAAGATATAATAACAGTTTGGTTTTTTTTTCCATGTAGTTTGGATGCTCTCCCAAGAGTCACATGCCCAAATCATCCAGATGCAATTTTAGTTGAGGACTATAGAGCTGGTGACATGATCTGTCCTGAGTGTGGCCTGGTTGTAGGTAAGTAGCCGTTACAGTTTTCATTTAAATAATAATTTATGGTACTTTGCTTCTGTACATTTTCCAAACTGTCTTAACACATTTTGACCACTCCCTGCACTGCACAAGTAATTCTTATTTATAGTAAAATGAAAGGAAAGGAAACAGAGAAGAGTGCGGTCATCCAGAGACACCATTTATCAATTCTGTGTAGCCGGTGAATACTTAATAATGCAGGTGAAAGCTGAGATGAAAAGGCCAACAGCACTTGAATCCTTAGTCTTAAATATTTAATGGAAGGTGTATGTGAGAGGGGGTTGATACTCAAATCACCGATAAGTTTTGTGGCTTTTGTATGCTTTGTAAAACAAATATGGTAAGCTGGGTATAGGCACACGCTTTTACTCCCTGCACTTAGGAAGCAGAGGTAAGCAGATAGATCTCTGTGAGTTCAAAGCCAGCCTGGTCTACATAGTAAGTTCCAGCTGCTACAGGGAGATCCTGTCTCAAAAAGACAAAAACAAACAAAAAACCAAATATGGTATTGGTATGTTTCAGAGTAATAAAGATCTGTTTATATTGACCTTATCCAGTGCTTTATTGTCAACATAAACAGTTTATTAGTACTTGATCTATGAATATCTAGTTTGCATTGTTACTGTCCAAATATACCACATCTTAAAATTTTACGTTCAGGCTTGAGAATGTAGCTCAGTGGTAACATGCTTGCCTAGTTCAAGGCTACGCCCTCAGTTCAATCCACAATATCATTAAAAAAAAATTTCAGTGTTATGCCTGTTTACCCACTAATCTAGATACACAGAAGAGACTTAGACTGGAGAGAAACTGTTGAGAAAACACTGGGTATGGTTACAGCTAGTATCTGAGAACAGAGGTAGTACCGAGCAGTTTGTTATGCTGTTTTTCTTTGTTTTCCAGTCCTGGGAGGAAGCACGGGGCCATGTAGGTTAGGCAAGCACTCTGCAGTGAGCTGCAGCACTAAACTTACACGGTATTTACTTAGGAATGAAAATGTTATTAGGCATAGCTAATAGCTATGCACTGAGGATTCTTTCAAGCTGGGTGTGGTGGTGCATGCCTTTAATCCCCCAGCACTTGGGAGGCAGAGGCAGGCGGATCTTTGTGAGTTCAAGGCTAGCCTGGTCTACGTAGTGAGTTCCAGGCCAGCTGAGGCTACAGGGAGATCCGGTCTCAAAAGTACCAAAACAAAACAAAACAAAAATCATCTAAGAAGGCTTCTTACTTCAGACCTACAATGGGACTTTTTGTGTTTCTTGGTTTGCATTTTGACTATTTGAGATTTCTATTCCCATTAATTAGCAATTCATTTACAGTGAGCATTTTTCTTTTAATATTTTATTATTTTTATTTTATGTGTTTGAGTGTATTGCCTGCATGTATGTGAGTGCACCGTGTCGTGCAATGCCACCGAGGTCAGAAGAGAGCTTCAGATTCCCCTGGAACTGGAGTTAAGGATGGTTATGAGCTGCCTTGTGGGTGCTGGGAATCCTGGGTCCTCTGTAAGAGCAGTCAGTGCTCTTAACCTCTGAGCTATCTCTCCAGCCCCCTACAGTGAGAATATTAAAGCTTACAGTTACTTATAGTAATTGAGATCCATTTGCAATTTTATTCGGTAAACAGTATTAATGGTCAGTATATTTGCCATAAACTGAGTGCTCTTCCAAGTAATGCACGTATTTACCCAGTGTATCCTGACAGTAAACCTGTGAAGTGGGCACTAACATTACCTTCATTTTGCAGTTGAAGAAACTGAGGGTTAGGTAGTCTGGCAGTCTGGTTCTGTTACCTACATGGGAGCCAGATTTTTATCCCGTATTGCTTTTGTAATAAAATGCATTCCATCTGGGATCAGCACACTGTGAGCTAGCACTTTTTTTTAATATGGCCTATGTGCTGAAAGTGGCTTTATACTTTTTTTTTGAGACAGGGTCTCCCTGTAGCCCCAACTGGCCTGGAACTTACTATGTAGATCAGGCTGGCCTTGAACTCACAGAGGGCTTTATACTTTTAAATGGTTGCGAAGAATTAAAATAATAATATGTTTGGACACAAGAAAATACTATCATATTCTAACTTCAGAATGCAGTAAGGGAGTTTTATTGGAGCACACCTGTATTCATTTGCTTTTACATTACAGTAACTGCTTAGTAGGTACAACAGAAACCATATGCAGTGCTCTGGTACCCGCTCCAGCTGTCAGTTGCACTGCAAATTTTAGCTGTGGAGTTAGAACTCAACAGTATTTAAGTGAAGTCCATGTTGCCATATTGCAAAATTTTATAATTTTTTTACCAATTGTGTACCCATATCAAAACAAAAACTGTCATGCTTTTAAGGGGCAGTGGGGTCATTGTTTGATTGAATTAGGTAGAGCTGCCATTGTTCATGATGAAACATACTCTGTGCTGAAAGAATAAGAAAAGTATACACATTACCACACTACGCGTTCTTCAAAATAGTCCTAATCAGGAGAACAATGATCAGAGAAACCAAATTAGCATGGAGTCCTTAATCACAGTAGAATTTGTTAATAAAAATCAGTCAGGCATGTGAAATCCCAGCTTTTAGGAGCCATAAGCGGGTCAATAAAAACCATTTACCAACATTCATGTTTCACTGCAGTAGATAAAGAAATGTGTCCATAGAAAATAAAAACTGTTGGCTTCTCAGCAAAAACAATTGCTTAGAATTGAAGATATTTGAAAGCAGCCTCAATGTTCTATTAAAAATCAGGGCACATTATTTCAAGTATATTTCCTTTGCTCACAGCAACTACAAATATCACTGTTTCTACTGGGTATTTAAGACAAGTTTGAATCTTGTCTGAGTTACCTGTGTGGAACAGCTACAGGAGAAAGCATTTTCTTTTTTAAGAAAAATTTGTCTTTTTGAGACAGGGTCTCCCTGTAGCCCCAGCTGTCCTGGAACTCACTATGTAGACCAGGCTGGCCTCTAACTCACAAAGATCTGCCTGCCTCTGCCTCCCAAGTGCTGGGATTCAAGGCATGCGCCACCACGCCCAGCTTTTCTTTTTTTTAAATATTATTTTTATTTTATGTGTATGCTTGGATTGCTTGCATGTATCCCTCGGAGAACAGAGGAGCACAGAAGAAGACGTTGGATCCCCTTGAACTGGAGTTACAGACAGTTGTTAGCTGCCATGTGGGTGCTGGGATTTGAACCTGGGTCTTCTGTAAGAACAGCCAGTGCACTTAATCTCTGAGCCATCTCTTCAGCCCAAGAAAGTATTTTCAAAGTAGTTGTAAAACTACTAATTTCCTGGAGACCCTTCTGTGGCTGCTCCGGAGTGGTGTACCGTCCGCTCTGGTCCTAACTCACCACTGTTAGCTCCCATCGAGGAACATGTGGGTCAGGAAGCCACAAGGCAGCCACGGCTTTTATAGATACCAGGAAGACCCTTGGAGTCGGAGGTGGCAATTCACCAAATTCGAATCACACTGACCAGCCGCAACATCAAGTCTCTGGAGAAGGTGTGTGCCGGCTTGATCAGACGCATGAAGGAAAAGAACCTCAAAGTGAAAGGCCTTGTTTGTATGCCCACCAAGACTTGGAGAATCACTACAAGAAAAACACCTTGTGTGAAGGTTCCAAGACATGGGATGTGTTCCAGATGAGAATCCACAAGGGAATCATTGACCTGCTCAGTCCTTCTGAGATTGTTAATCAGATCACTTCCATCAATATTGAGCCAGGGGTAGAGGTGGAAGTTACCATTGTGGATGCCTAAGTCAGCTATTTAATAAATTCACTTAACCAGTTGATTAAAAAAAAAACTAATTTCCTTACAACCAGAAGTGGAATAGTGGATGCTGTTAACATGTGAAGTCTAGGACTGACTTGAACAAATTTACAAAGCTTATGAAAATACAAGGCACTAATAAAGCCTATATTTATTTATTATCTTATTCATCAACAGGTACTTTTTAGAAAATATTTTAATGTGCTGTGTGCGGTTAAACCAGTAGTGTCAACAGTGAACCTATTATGGACTTCATTACCATCAGCTCTGCACATTGCTAGAGCTAGAAGCTGAAGTTCCTGACCTCCCTACTGCACCTGCACATTTGTTTAAGCTTAGGTCCAGGTTTGAAATCTTTATGAATCATAATTACCTTTACTACTGTTGAATACTCCATTACTGAATGTTTTTGAAACTTAGAGATTTTGCTGCAGATTTAGCACTATTTATCAATTAAATGTTAATGAATTCTTAGAATTACAAGGAAAAGAAGTGCTTGTATGTGAGCATACACAGCCTTTAAAGTCAGGTAACCACAGCTAACATTGCTGTGGGCTAAGTACTGCCACCCTGCTTCATGTACTCTGTATACATCCAGTGCCCTCAAGCCAAAGCAGGAATATCTTCATCAGGGGCCTTTGTGGTCTTTGCACAACATGGGTGCACTTACATACATGCAGGCAGTACACTCATACACATAAAATAAGAAGAATAAAGTATTTAAAAAGGACTATTTTCATTAACACTTAGCTTTGCAGCTGATACATAAGCTCAGGCTATGCTTTCAGCAATGTTTACTAGCCCTACATGCAATTGCAAAGGAGATTTGCGTGTTTCAGAGTCCACTTACCTGTGCAAGGATGCTTCTCAATAGCCTTCAACTGAAAGTGATTAGTCAGCAGTACACGTTAAAAGGAAAATATGAGCAAAGTGTCAGAAATCCTGTGAAACCCTTCAGAATAATACATACACTCAATTAAAAGCATACACCTGTCATCAGGTTTTGGCAGTACTTTGAAGTAAACATTTGTAATTGATTTTGATGATAGGTAACACTAATTTTGAACTTCAATTATGTGGTATGTTACCATTGAAGGAATTCTGTTCTTTTCATTAGTAGTATTACAGTGTTATACTTGATCTAAATTTAATCAGGAAAAAATAGTAGATTGCTTCCCTTCATTAAATACCTATACATTATCCTCAGTTTTGCCCTTTG